ATGCCAGGAGTACTGCCACCATCAGAAGCTTCTCATTTTCCTCTTTTCTCTTTATCTTATGGTTATATGGTCTGGATTTATATCCATGAAAGCTCATGCAAAAATAAAAGCCAGTTAGTCTTAAAGATGCTGCACATTTCTTTCCCCTTCCTCCTCCTTCCCAAATTGTTTTCATATTACTTCTTGGTTTACAACATTGAGACCTTGGATACATCCAGACTTGTCTTAAAAAGTAGATCAAGTTGCAACTACCCAGCACTATCTGAGGAAAATTCCTGCTGCTCTGGAGAGCTGCCATTATCTTGGATCATACAATACAGCAGGGGTAGGCAACTTTCCCCTTTAAGTGCTGAGGGACTTCAGCTCCCAGAAGCCTCAGCCATGTTGGCCAATAGTCCCATGTTGGCCAATAGCTCCTGGGATTCTGGGAGCTGAAGTCCCTCGGCCCTTAAAGGGGAAAGGTTGCCTACCCCTGCAATACAGCATTGGGACTTCTGAAAATATTTCCTCTTGGATTATGCTGTCCTATTGGCTTTGTAACACACACCACACTTGGAAAAATAATGGGCCTTTGTATCCATCACTCTCTTGTGAAATAAAGCCCGTTGTTGCTTGGGGTCAGAAATAGCATTGGTTGCCCTTTGTATCATAAACCAAAAGAGGGAATGCATCCCTAATGGTTCAGTTGGATCCCCTGATTGGTTTTTATATCTTCCTGATATCTTCCTGTTCATGATATCCTTTTGGGATGTTTGGCACTTAGGGGTACCAGTCCTCTAAGTAGTGGTTACAGTCCTATTTGGATGAACTCTTCAAAATTAGTGTTGAAGGTCTATGCCAATTAGTTTAATGCATCTCAAGCTATCTGATGTAGGGGCCTGCCAGCTGTTTTACCTCAATGTGCCCATTGGCTACAATTTTCTTTCTTTCTTTCTTTCTTTCTTTCTTTCTTTCTTTCTTTCTTTCTTTCTTTCTTTCTTTCTTATCTAGGCACTTACCAGGGCTCAATAAGCTTTAAATCATTGCTCAGTATTATCTACTGTGCTCTGTAAACCCTGCAGCAGATCATCTGAAGTTTGGGGGTTGGGTCTCTTATGGTGATGAGACTTAGCTCTGTCTCTCTTTTTAAACTGATTCCAAGGAAGCTGTAGGAGTCGTGAATCATTGTCAGGATGCAGTGAGAGACTGTATACCGTCAAACAAATCAAGGTTCATTCTAGGCAAGTCAGAGGCTCTGTTGAATCCATGAAACTGGATTCCTTCTGAAGAAATAGGATTGCAGTTTGGGGAATACTCCTGGACCCAGTGTTGCTTGTAGGGGGCAGGTGGCTGGGTTGACTCTTGTTCAGCTTCAACTGGTAAATCAGCTGCACTCCTTTCTAGGGAAGGTGGATGTGGATGCATTCTATAGGTATCCCTCATTTAGATTATTATGGCATGTTTTCTTTCATGGAGCAGCTTTGGAAAATCGTTTGGAAACTACAGCTAGCACAAAATGGAGCAGCTATACTACAGCCACCCTCTGTTCTCGCAGACTTGAAATCCGTGGTTTTGTACATTCACGAAGGGGTAACCCCTGTTTAAATCAATGGGGTGTGACCTCCATTCAAGCCTATGGGGCCTGAATGTTTGCGAATTTCTGTTTTTGAGGGATGGGTGTGTCTGGAATAGATCCCCTGCAAAAACAGAGGGCCACCTGTATTATCTGACATGTGCTTTGGAGACCAAACATCCTGAACTAAATGCACTGGCCTCCCATTTGTTTCAAGGTTGTGTTTATAATTATTTCACTTTTAATTTACTTATTGGATTTATATCCCACCTTTCTTCCTAAAATAAAGTGCAAAGTGGGTAACAATAAAATTTGGAAAAAGCCCAGATAAACTTAAAATATGAAACAAATGTAAGCATAAAAGAAGAAAATGCAGTTTAAAACACACCAATAAAAGTAAGCTCAAAACAACCCAGTTATATAAACTTCTGCAACAAAGACTCATCCAAATGTTTTTCTAAATAAAATACAACCTTGCCCACTTAAGAGGGAGTTTAAAGTGTTAATGTCAAATGTAGTTATGCTACACTAAAAAGAAGTGTTGTGACTTCTGGATTTGTTTCCCATATTCTCTAACTATCCCATTTTGGTAGAAGCAGCTCTGATAAATCCTCTGTTGTCACACCATGTCAGCTACTTTTAAGATGTCCCAGTTTCTCTCTTCTCCTTCCACTTTTCCATTTTGTCCTCAGCTTACTTCTATTGCTGCAAACCTATACTTTCCTTGCATTTTTGAAATACATACCTGGTCATCACCACAAAGGATCATGCATTCATCATGGCCTGTGTAGCTGAATTGGAGGTGGAAGGAGAGAAAGAAAAGAAAGAAAGGAGAAAGGATAGTTTCCTTTAAAAATCACCGGTTTCCCCCCCAAAGTAATATAATATCTTTTCTGATGAACAAAAATCTGTGCATGTGTCTAAACAAGACTTTGTAATGTCCAGACATTTTATACAAGCTACTGATACTGCTAGCCTGTCATAAAATGTAATTTTTACATGAGCAAGTCATGAAGGAAAAGTGAGACCTGATTCATATGGTCACACATTTATCAGAATATTCAGCTGTTTAGGGTCATTATTGAGGCCCTCATTTTATGATAGGATCTACCAGCCTTTGCCTGTGATCTCCATGTTAAGTGTTTAGAACTGGGAAATAACCATTTTAAATTTCTCAGACTATCGTGGAGTACATGATGTAGCCTTGTTCCAGAGAACTGTGAGAAATTTCTCAAGGCAGATTTCTAGATACCTACCATTGCCGCAAGGTAAACCCATGGCTGGAATGGGAAGCCTCTGACATACAGGGTGACCAAATGTCCTAACCACAAAGGAGGACAAGGCACCATAAAATGTTGAACATTCAAGAAAAATATAGAACATTGCCAAATAAAAGTTAAAAACACAAATATAAACACACATTCATGCTTCTTAGTCATGCTCAAAACAGAGGACATTTTAAAATTCCTCCTGGACAAAAGTTTGAAATCTAGGACATGTCCTGGGAAAGGAGGATGTCTGGTCACCCTGCTGACATAAGCTTTATGACCAGAGCTTAGAAGTAATGTGTCTAAAGTAACTTTACTTTGTTAATTGTAAAATGTTACCTTTTTTTTTAGTTGTAGGGCCCAATGTATTTTTTTTAAAAAAGCACTGCAACACAAATGAAATGTAAAATAGTAACAGCTACACAATTATAGCACTTTGATACCACTTAACTGTGAAGATTCGACCCAGTGGAATCCTGAAATTTTCTGTTTTGTGAGATATTTAGGATCCTCTGCCAGAGAACTCAAGTGCCTCCCCAAAGTACAAATCCCAGAATACCACAAGATGAAGACATGGCTGTTAAAGTGGAATCAAAATCTATAATTGTGCAGTTGAAAGGGACTTCGGTAATGTTTGCTCATTATTTAGAGATGATGACTTTTGTGAGAATTGGAGGGGATGGTGACTTGTGGCAATGTTTCTGCGTCAAAAATTTAAAAGATAACATTGACAGTAACGCAGTACTAGTTTACGAATCTACTTGTTACTCATGAGTAACATTAACAAGATATATCAAGTAGAAAATAATATTGACAAGGAATATAATATATGAAAAAATAAGGTCAAAGAAGAAACACAATATGAACTCGAAGGCTTTCACGGCCAGCATCCATAGATTTCTGTGGGGTTTTTGGGCTGTGAGGCCATGTTCTAGAAGAATATATTCCTGACGTTTTGCCTGCATCTTCAGAGTGAATTAGCTAAATGCTTGTGTGTGCTTATGATTGCTGTTCAGGGTCAGACTGGATAGCTGTTAGTGTGTGGATGATGAGTGTTGTAGTGATGCCCTCTGGCACCC